ATAAATATCATACCGCAAGCCCCAAGCAGCACCACAGATTGTGGCTCTTTCCGTCCTAAGTCCTCAAAGGAAGCTGACCGGATAACCACACAGTAGGAGTCCCCACCCTACTGCAAGCTTTGAAAGAGCTGACGTGTGAAAATTCTACAAAATGTAAATGATTTGTCACGGTCACACCTAGATAGCTTCCACAGTCACCCAGCCCATCCACATGTATCTGCCGTGCATGCTCCCCCTAGTGCCCTACCGTAACAGTCTGGCTCTTCAGGTTCACTCGCTTCACTTGAGTTTTACAGATTTGCCATCCATTCTGAAATACTTCCCTTCCAAGCCTAGGTAAAAGCGGCACCGTAACAAAGTCCCACCCAGCAGCATGTTTGCCATAGGAAACTGCAATGACTTCAGAAAGTTCCTCCTTTGGGAACATTGCCCAGAAACACAGGCCATCTACAACCCTTGTATTTTCCTCCTGCACCCAGGCATATGCCAATGAAAAGTACCTACTGCTCACAGTCCTCTTCCCAGTATACCTGGAGGCCACATTCCAAGTACACATGGTTGTTATCTTTGCTGTCATTCAAGACAGTAAACCTTCCCCAACCACCCTGTAGATCTGCAGTCCACACCACCACCACATGCACATAAGCTTCACTGGGCCCTTTCTATCTGTGCCTTCCATGCTGAAGAAGTGATTCTGTGCCATTTTTAGGTAAATGTTGTCACAGGAGACACAGGGCTGAGTACACAGAGGGATAGCAATTCCTAAGATCAGATGGAGACAGTCTTTTCCCAGGCAGCTCTCAAATGCCTTAAGTCAGGCAGTCCAAAACTTTAATCCCAGGATCTGAAGTGGCATTTAGAATGATAGAACAAATTAGGTTGGAAGGGACCCTTAAACACTATCTAGTCCAGCCCTGCAGCTGAAGATGTCCYCAGGGACATCTTCAGCTAGGTCAGGTTTTTCCAGGGATAGGGCATCTACTGCCTCTCTGGGCAACTGGTTGACTGAATTTGTCACTTAGTGCCTGTCGACTGAATTTATAGGTCAATGCCCTTGCAAGCCTTAGCACTCAGCTAAAATCCTTTAACAGACTTTTTTTTTTTTTTTTTCTTTTAGGAAACTCAATGGCAATTGAATATTCTCAAACATCATCATAAATAAACAATCAAACCAAACCCCAGAAAGAAGTGATTAATGGGACAACTGAGCTTGTGTCAAGAAGCAAAGCCATGTAGAGTCTCACCCCAAAGGGCACTGTCTCATTAGATCTGCTGTGCAGGGAGGTGTTTGCCCGACTGTTGAGCTGGCTGAGCTTAGCCCTAGTAGCCTCCACTCTTCTCCACAGAGAATATTACAGCATGCCCACGGGCCTGGGGGTGAGATCAGACCAATGYATCAGCAAAGGAGGCATCAGAACAAATGAGGGAGCACATGAGCTGCGTTTCAGGCTGAAATCTCTACATCCTGAAAGACTGCAGCTTGTTTACAYACCTAATAGGGAGTGGTGCAGATGGGAAGTGGGATTTAAAGCCCTCACAGAACTTTAAAAATAGCACAGTGAAAGTCATTGTTCCCTTTCTCAATTAGGAGGACAGGAAATGAAAACACATGAGTGCAGAGGCTTTCTGCTCCAGSCCTGAGGGAATGACCCAGAGTCATGAGAATATAGGCCAGATATTGAAGCAAAGAATGAGAAGCAGCAGGAGACAATGGAATATAATTTGTGTGGATAGACTGTAGCAGTCTCTGGAGAAAGAATCACAAAACATGCTATGAAGAGAAAATTTTAAATTGCTGTGGGCAACTGCTCATCCATGAGCAGAAATGGAAAACTGTCCGTGAGATAGAAGATTTTTCAATGCACCTTGGTTTCACAGTGGACCATGCAGTRTCATTTTGCTAACATGGAGATTGTTTTGAAGGATAACAGTAAGTATGAGTTATGTGACTAAAGAGAGCAAAGAAAATATACATCATATATACAGGGAAAACCTTTGCTGTGTCTTTGGGAAAAGTACAGAAGTGTTGTTTTCCAAGTTACTTGGAGTCAGAAGGGAGAAGCACTGAAGACTGTGTAGAGAGAACACTGGTGTATGGACCAAGGGACAAGCAAGCCCATTTCTCTTTGGAAATGGATGTATTACTGAATGCCTTTTTAAAGGCATAAAAAATTCAAATAAGGTTACAGTTTGTAAACAGCAAACGCAAGATGATAGAGAAAAAAATGAGGTTGCACTGGGAGTAGGACATGAAGAAAAAATGGGGTGAAGGAGGAGCTACATTCCAGACAGGAGTTACTTCACATAGTGAAGGGAAGCTACTGCTTGAGGAGTGGCGTAGTCAGGGACTGGGGGACAGTCAGGTTGGAGGAGAAAAGACATCAGCTCTGAGAGGCATATATGGATGGGAGAGTGAAAATCAAGACACAAGAAAAAAAGAAATGAGGATGGAAAAAGGAAACACGTGTTTGTGAGCAAAAATAGTAACAGTTGTAGGAAGCCTGTGGAAACAGACTACATGTTCCAGGTGTTTAACTGTAACCAACCGTACATTTACAAGAAACACCTCTAAACGGCAGTAACCATATCTTTGTGAAGTAGGTAAGCGCTGACAGGGGAGGGAGGCAAAGATGAAAAGATTACAAGGCGGTGGAGGAGTCTCTGTTGGTGTGGGACTAGAAGGTGAGCATCCCTCACGCTGAGCGCAGAACTAGACTTTGTGTCTCTTTGCTTGTGAATATACACTGTGAGTGCCCCAGGCTCTGCTGGCTCATTATCAAATGCCCTTGAAATCACTGTTTAGATTAAACTTCAGAGCACTGTCAAATGTACCCCAAAGTGTTCTCTGGACTTGACACTTTTGAAATAAAGGGATCAGTGTGTCCTAGCAATCCCAAGCACCAGGATGCAGAAAAGGAGGTGTGATTGTGGACTTGAAGCTACAATTATAGTAAAGAGAGAGGACTTAACATACACAAACTAGACAGTGAGACGTTTTCCAGTTGCAGTCAGATCTATAGCAGCCAAGCTATTATGATAGTTATTCTTGCCCCACAAGTGAAATAGATGTGTATTAATAACCTCTGCACTGGTGTAACTGATACGGTCACAGAGAGGGAGGGAAGGAGTAAGTTGCTCCAAAAGAGCTATATTGGTAAAAAAAAAACAAACCCACAAACAAAAAACAAACAAACAAAAAAAAACCAAACCAAAATTACTTTACTAACAAAATCTTTACATTTTCAAGAAAATGACAAACTTTCTTGAATTTCTAAGAATACTGACTTGTTTTAAAACTTGTTTCCATAAAAAATAACTAAAACTGCACATGGAGTACATTCTCCTACACATTTATTGGCCTTCCCAGTCAGTGATAAGCTTTGTAGGGACTCAATCCTTGGTATGTTTTCACCATGCTSTCCCAAAGATGTGCAGGGGTATTTGACACATGATGCTTTTCCACCCTTAATTCTGTAGCAGCAGCAGCTCTCTTTACTATAAGCTTTTTTGGGGGCCACTCATATTTATTTGGGGGGCAATAAAGGCCATGTCCCAGGAGAAGGTTACTCTGTTCTGTGAGCACTTCCCATTAGTTTCTGTGGGGGATGGAAAAGATGATACTACCTGGAACCTCAGTAAATYCCAATGTGGTTCATAACTTCATAGGCAAAGCTCAGGAGTCAGGTATATGATTTGTAAATTTATCATCGTTTGAACCTCCATATACTTCTGGGCTTTAGAATTCAAAGCATACAGCAGCAACTTTCTCTAGTTAGAATTACCTAATTTTGGCCCCAGAGACATGACTTGATTCAGGTTTAACTCTGACTGTCATTTAAAAAAAAAGCATAGATTTGCAGGGCTTTGAAAAGATCTGAAGAAAGTAAAACTCTGCCAATGCCCATTGAACAAATCTTTGGCAGAAACAGTGAAAAACATTAAATCACGCTTTAAAGAAGAGTAAACCAACATGTGAGGATTTATTCACACAGTATAAAGCAGGAATGAATCTGTAACACAGTTCTGTTGTTTACCAGTTATTTGACCCTTACAGGGATTGAACTCTGGCAGTGTCTGTCAGGCACCACTAGCAGTCCTTTGTGGTTTCTYTTTGTGCAATCAGAAATGTGAACAGCATCTGATATATTAACCATGATTTAGAAGCTCTTTTTCTTGCATATTTTCTGCACTAAAATTAGTATTATAGACATAAGTAAGCAGCCAGGATTAARTGACTGGAACATGTTATCACAAAGGGTCCTAAAATATTCCAGAATAAAGATGGATAACAGGCCAGAATAGAGTGTGCTGCACAAAGGCAAGGAAGAGGGAAGGAATCTTTTGACCTAAGGTCCTAGGGCACTGAGTCAGATCTCCTCTTGCAGTGCCACATGAAATTGCTCATGAAACTCCAGGCAAAAGAAGCCTGATCTCCAGGATAGAAGTCACATTGGAGTGGACCTTTTAGATGTCACAGGGCTGAAGGGGTCTTTCTGCAATTTGGCCATGTTCTTCCTGTGAATTTCAGGATGAGGGCACACGAGAGACTCCTACCCCACAAAGGAATGGTTTCCACATAGAGCAAGACCATTAGTTATGCAAAACCAGTTGAAATTGGTGGGGAGAAACCAGGTTGCCATTTACAAATACGTATGTTTTGTAAGTTAGTACTAGTTGCTGACCGTGGGCTATCTGAAGAATTCTACTGTAGATGACTGCAGCCTCTATCATGATAGACTTTACCAGAAACAGTCTTTGCAAAGTGAAGATCAAAAGTAATGCCAGAAAATCTTTCATCTTCCTGTCTATGACAGTAAGCCATTAGGTAGGAAAAAAACCCTAAAGCTTTAAACCTCACAGGTACATGCAGCAACTAATGCTGACATAGCTATAATGTAGTCAGGGGTTAAATATTGAAAAGTCATTCTGATTATCTGACAATTTTCCCCAGAGCCCACAAACCACTTCCTTTTCTACCCATGTGTTTTCCCCATCCTCACGGTAGACAGAAGGCTGATGCCTCTGTGTCAGGCAGGCATGAAGGCAGTTGCTGTAACTTTCTGTGTCCTCTGCTTTCAGTTTGAAGCCCTGTACGGTGAGTAACATTTTGGATTATTCTCTGTGCAGTAGATGTCTCTATAGAGTATAACAGCCAATTATGGGAGACAGTAAATAAGGCATGATAGAAAGGGGTTGGAGGAATAAAGGTAATGGAGGGTAACGGCTGCAAAAAGACTGTTCCTAACTTTGGTATCACTAGAGTCGTGGGAAGAGAATTCCTGCTAGCACAGGGCATTTGCTCTGGAATGAAAAAGTACAAGTTTTCATTGTTTATGTTCTTCAGCTCATCTGCTCAATGTTACCCTTTAGCTGTTTAGATCGTAGTGCTCCAGCCAGCTTCCCTTGATGGATATGAGATCACATAGAAGCATGATGTGAATAATAAAGAGAAACCAACTTACCAGTATTAAACCTGCTCTTGTGTGGGAAGGGAATTTTKATACAATGAAAAATGTATATGGCATGCAAGATTAGATGAGATTATTTTGGTGCGGGCTTGAAACACAGTATTCAAAGGAAGCATGGCATTCCTATACTGTGTTTGAGAAAAGTGTACAGTGACAGCACCAGTTGCAGTCCAGCCATAAATATGGATGTAGCATTTAGCAAGATTTGTGTTTTATCCCATGTATAAAGTAAAATATCACAGCTTTATGTGTAACCTGTCTGAAACCAACATATTTATGGGTCAGGATGGAAATACAGACAATAACTGGTTACAAAGAGTCTTTTTTTCYATACATATTCTGGCCAAGGATTTGGTACAATGCATCATAGAACTAATATATGAGATTTAGTACGCACAGTTACTAAACACTATCTAAATATGCTCCTTTGGAGGTCATGCCAAGGGCTATTAAATGTTTATTTCTGAAATTCTAATGAAAAGGGATAGAATTTAACTACTGCTGAGGTTTCATACAGAACTTAAACGTTTCCATAAATAAAAACTCATTTTCAGGTCTTTAGGTAATGCAGATACCTTTCTGAAGGCTAACTAAGATAKGGATACTGTACTGAGTTTTCAGATAGAATGAAAAGATGAGGGAAATCACAGGAAAGAGYAATTGTAATCAGTATTTTTAAAGGGAGTTCTCCTTGAAAAGTTGTTCTTAAATCTACTAACAAAAAATCCTTTGAGTTTGATTACATAATTCTTACCTAGTCAATGTAGCATGTATGCCTGAGCAGCACGCTTTCACACATAGCTGAAGCTACCTAGAAGAAGCTGAAGCTTCCTCATGGGAAGAAATACTGTAATTTTAAGGGTGCAAATAATTGTTCTGTCTGATACCAGCATTTCTGCCTTCTTTCTCCCTTCCTTCTCATATGGAGGACAGGATTTGGGTAGGGACTGGGATAAGGAGATAATGACAAATCAAAGGGACTGCCTGTATGAAGAAATGGTATCTCTCATGTTTTTTGTCTTACAGTGTTCTCAGCATAACTTGTGACTTATGGATGTAAATAGATCACAGGAGATGATATATACGTGTGTATTAGGATTTGATAACACAATTGTGATAAAGAAATTATTTATAAGAGCAGGGAGCCTCTCTGTTGCCTGTAAATAAACACAGACAATGGGATTTTGGAGTACAGAGCTGTAGGTAGGCATAGCCCTTGCTATGAAACACTGCACATAAGCTTTTGCATGCCAACATTTGCAAAGCATYATCACTCTTCACCCACGGATCTCCTGTTGTCAATACAGGAGGAAACCATGGTAATTTCTTAGAAGGGTTTCTGAAATATTATCAGACTACCTGTTGTTTCCATGGTATATTTTATAAGAATTTCGGTATTCCTGGACATAAATTATACCATAGAAAAAAATTCAGATTGAAGATGGCTTCCTAGAATAATTCTGGCCATTACTTGCTTTCCCCAGCACTCTTTCTTCTCTTAGTCCTGGATTCTTGAAAGATAACAACATGTTAGTTTTAGGCACATAACTAATGGTACTAAATTGACAGTGTCATCTTTCAGAGTGCCTTGAAAGRTCAAAACTATAACAAAAACTTTGTGTAGTTTTATTTTGCATTTAGTATTAACAAAACAAATGTGKTTTTTTGAAGGCAGGGTTCACAATTTCCTTGCTCGTCGTCAGAGGCAAACACGTACAAGTGAAATTATGCTTATTCTTATTCTTTTTATCASCTAGTTAGTTTTCTGAGAGCTGGGACAGGTAATAGAAACAGAAAGAAAATCAAGTAACAGTATTCTATTCTCCTACCCTAAACCCCAAGCTTGAAAAGGGATTGAAAGTGGTTTTTAAATTTCTGTTAGGACCAAAATGCGTAACAGATTTGTGATGTTTTCAAATAGTGCTGGRTCTGCCAAAGAGCAACTAGAAAGCTAAAAATTGCAATCCTATTAAAATGAAAAAAACACACTTTCCATTGGCCTTASTATCCAAGCACACTAGCATAGAAACTACCAAATTTCTGCCAAAAGGCTTTCCTGCTGTACTAAACATGAAATTCAGATGGACATGTACATGACTGTAAATACAGTTATACACAAATGTACACATACATACACACACTCTTTCGGAGTTTAACGCAACAAGATGTAATTTTCATACATTTTTTTTGTCTCTTAGATTTATATCTAAGCCACAATATTTGTCTTGGCATTCTGCTTGACATCAGGCAAGGCAGGAAGGACTCCATGTAACTCCACATTAAGACACTCCTAGGAAACAAACTAAAGATTTGTTTCCTCTTGTCTCAAACCTTTATATGTGATTGAATTATCTCTTTTATGAAAAATAACAAAAAGGAATCTTAAAGCCAAATCTAAGCATTTTTATGGCTGATCAAGTGAAATTCTTCAGTTTAATTTCAACATACCGTACTCTTATTCATGTATTTTTGAGATAAAATTAGAGAGAATTAGTCACTGAACCTCTCAGTATTAATGGACATTATAACCCCAGTTTCCTATCTCTTATCCCACTCAATGTACCTTCATTCTGACTGGAGCTTGGCAAGAAACATCCTCAATGTGTYTGGCCATTAACAACAGAGTATTACAGGTTCATGTGATTACCCTGGGAATATTACAGGGTAAAAATGGGCACAGATGAGCGGTGAGGCACAGGGAGGCAAACTGAGCAACTTYTTAGCATTCAGCAATAGTGTTCAAATTAGGAGCTGATGCAGAATAGTTAGTGAGTTGGAAAGTTATATCAGATCTAACCCATTGCGGTCATCCATGTCGACAATTTTGTGTTTTAATYTCAGGCCCTGTTAATCTAATTCTRAAGTGTGCTGCCTTTATCCTATGCTAAGCACACTCTTCTATATGGGCACTTGTTTCAGAGGAATACTAATTGCATCATATYTAYCAAAATGCTCATTCAGAGAAAAATATTACTGAGTCTTTCTTGAAAACAGGCATTTTAGGCATCTGAGTTGGGGAGAATACAAAACAATCTTTCATCTTGCCAGAAGGTCACATGAACTAAATGCTTAATGACATCTCCACCCTTTTCCATTAAAAACAAGCATTAAAACCATGATCTGTGACAAACATTTTAACCCACATGGTATGAAAGGGCAATTTCATTAGTTAACAGCCAAATTGAACTACTCTCAGAGACAGAGAGAACAAATTTGAAGTTGTTACTTTAGTGCTCAGAGCACGGTTGTCCCACGCACCTCTGGTAGATCGAAGGAATATGGCACCACTTGTCTCCGTGGCTGCCCTGATAGAATCAGCATCTGCCTTTCCTCTCAGATGACCAGTAAAAATGTAGAGATTAGTTTATGTATTCATCATACTCCCTAGCTTCTGCTGTACGTTTGTTTTGTTCTTGCCTTCCCTAAATAATTTGCTGKCTGTTTGGCCTAATTTTAAAGGTATGTGTTACCAAATTACAGGACGTCAAACTACAGAGCATTTAAAATGACCTTCATTTCAAGTGTTGTTCTCATAGGAACTGTTTTCTTTCATCATGCAACATATATGTCATCAAGAATGATGTTTTTCTTTGACCTTTGCTTTCAGCTCTTCAGACTATATAACATTTTAAGGGCTTGCGCTTTCTGTCTGTGMTTTCAGTGGCTCTAGAGCTCTATTTCACTGGGGCTTGGCAAGTTGTGTGTTTTCTCTGCCTTATCTTCACACCAGTGGTACAAGATAAATAATATACCTTGTCTGTTATCATACACTTATATAATAGTCCTGAGAAAAGTACAGCTATTAGAACTGTCACTGAATTAGATAAGGGCGCTGACTGTGCACAGYGAACCAGGAAGAATTTGATCACTAGGAAAATGGTAAATCAATCAGAAAGGGATAACAGTTTCTATTGCTCTTTAACTGAGCATTGCAAAGTGTCTTCCAGAAGTCCATTAGCTTCTGTGTCACACTAAAGATATTTTAAAGGAGTATCATTCATTACAATGCCCTTGCCAATGGCAGCAACTGGAAGCCAAAATTCAAAGAAGGAAAAAGCATGAACACTTAGAGAGTGAAAGGGTTGAGATCATACAAAGGTACCCAAAAGGGAATGATCCTATGTGCCTGTGCACACACAGTCCAAACGTCAAATATAACAGGTACTTTGGAAAAAAACCCCGTTATTAATACTATGTAATCAGTGCAATACCTGGCACAGCTGGGCGTCTACTCTGTGTGGATATAGACTACCATGCAGCAGTAAAAGGAATAAGATAATGCATCAAAGTCTTAAAGTATTTGCCACATATTTCCTTAGCATCATAAAATCCTGATGCAGATATATTTCATTCTAAGTAGCATCTGAAGGAACTTACTCTGGCTACCAGAAAACAGGAAAAGCAGATACAGTTTTATTCTGTTTGTCTGTCTAGTGTCTGAACACTTAATTTTCGGGCACTGCAAAAAGAAAAATTCCAAATGAAACACGATCAGACTGTGCTAGGTTGCCAGTACTGACATACAAATCATTCTGAACTGTTGCCATAGTGTGTGGTGATGATGGCAGTGGTTTAAAAAACAAAACCAGAACAATCATTAAAAATATGTCTGTGTTCTGTAAAGAAGGTTGCCAATGAACAATGAGAGAAAAAGTTGTTACTGGAAAAGGAACAAAACCATATTCATTGCTTGAAGATTTTCTTGCTGTATGTATTGGAATACCATCCAGATAATTATGTTTTGATGCAGTGTTAAGCAGTGGGGGAAGCAGAATAAACATTAATGGAAATGAGTACTTTGGTCTGGGAAAAAATAATGCTGGCTTATTGCAGAATCAGGATTCATGAGAAATCAAAAGTATGCTTTTTTTTTTATTTGGGGCAGGTTCCCACAGTATCTTGTTGAAAGCTTTACGTTCATGTTAGTTCTGTTTCTGAAGTACATACATTACTTCGCAACTTCGGTGTTTTAAAAATTTGTGTATATCAATATAAATTCTTGCCTTATTTCTTTTTCAAAGTAGGAAGAAAGTAATTTTCTTTCTACTTTGATTTTAATGTTCAGTTCTTTTATCATATCATATTACTTCATAGACTAGCACAAAAAGGATAATGATACAAGTTAGATACAAAGATAGGATAATGATACAAGTTAAAAAATAGCTTCAACATTTTAACATTGCACAGCTAAACCCCTGTTCCTGCATCACTCTTCTTGAATTTTAAACAGAAAATAATTTTGTATTTTTCAGGTGTTGACAGTTGCTCATCACGTCCATGCAAAAATATAGGTAAGATGCMTTTGCCTTATTTGGTTTTAAATGCTTTTCTACATCAAAAAATATTGCCCTTGAAGGAAAAAMCTGTCATTTTTGAAGGAAAAACCTGTACATTCTAACATACTTTTGTCTGAGGGAGTTTTCTGTGGTATTGGTTGCTGACTTCACAAAGTCAAACGGGAGGTAGCAGGACATCTTTGGTCAGATTACTTTCTTTGCTTCTCCAAGAAGTTTGTAAAACAAGAGTTGCACAACATCTGAGAGCTTTTCATAGAGATTTTGTGGAGGTCAAATGTGATTTCTGGATTGCATGTGGGTGCACAAGCACAGTGACATTTGACCTCTACACCTTCCATTATCTGAGCAATAATGATGCTATAGCTATATATGTAATTAGGTTGAAACTTTATACCATGCCTCAAATCACTATCTATTTCACAAAGAAAAGCCAGGTCCTGTGGTTAAGGTCCTTATGTAGGAACTTGGTGTTCACAACCCAGTTTAAATTTTCTGCTACATCATCAAACTGGCTGCATAGCCGGGCCCAGAAAGTGGTGGTGAATAGAGTTACATCCAGCTGGTGGCCACTTACGAGTGGGGCTCCCCAGGGCTCTGTTCTKGGGCCAGTTCTGTTTAATATCTTTATCAATGACCTGGATGAGGTGTGCACCTTCAATAAATTTGCAGAGAACACCAAGTTAGGTGGAAGTATTAGGTAGGAGTATAGGAAGGYTTTGCAGAGGGATCTGGACAGACTGGATTGATGGGCCCAGACCAGCTATGYGAGGTTCAACAAGGCCAAGTGCCAGGTCCTGCRCTTGGGTCACAACAAMYCAGGCAGCCCTACAAGCTGGGCTAAGAGTGTCCTGAAAGGTGCCTGGTAAGGGTCCTGAGGATGCTGGTCAGCAGCCAGCTGAATACGAGCCAGTGTGTGTCCAGGTGGCCAGGAAGGCCAGTGGCATTCTGTCCTGTATCAATCATTGTGTGGCCAGCAGGACCAGGGCAGTGATTGTCCCCCTGTRCTCAACAGTGGTGAGGCCACACCTCAAATCCTGTGTCCAGTTTTGGGCCCCTCACTTCAGGAAAGATATGGAGGTGTCAGAGTGGGTCCAGAAGAGGCAACAGAGATGGTAAAAGGAGTAGTCGAGGRAGCTRTGGRTGTTTAGCTTGAAAAAAGGARGCTCAGGGGAGAACTTGCCATTTTCTACACCTACCTGAATGCAGGCTTCTGCAAGATCGGGTTCAGTCTCTTCCAAGTAACAAGGGACAAGAAAGAGGAAATGGCCTCAAGTTGCAYGAGGAGCGATTTAGTCTGGATATTAGGAAAAATGTATTCACTGAAATAGTGGTCAAGCACTGGAATAGACTTTCCTGGAAAGCAGTGGAGTCATCACCCTGGAGGGATTTAAAAGATGCTTAAATGTGGCACTTAGGGACATGGTTTAGTGGTGGTCTTGGCAATGCTGGGTTAATGGATGGACTTGATGATCTTAAGGGTTTTTCCTAGTCTAAATGCTCTTATAATTCCATGTTCATTAGGGTACAGATTACAAACCGTAAACCAAAGATAATTATCATCATCATCATCATCATCATCATCATCATCATCATCATCATCATCTTTGTACCACTTGTTTTATCGATGAATAGGACAATCTGATACTGAGGCAGTGATTGAAGGTCAATATAGTGTTTGGTACAGGGGCCTTTAAACAATGTCCAGTAACTGAGACCATAACTTTACCATTTAGTAACTTTAGTAGACAGTAACATTGTCAAGGTGACTGATCTAATGTTAACAGTAACCTCTCCAGCCTTAGAACAGATAACTGGCTAGGTCTCATTTATTTTATCAGTAATGTCTGTCATCACCAGAAAGATGCACTGGTGTCTCATCATGAGAGCTTCTTTCTACAGCCASACCATTCTGAATACCTACATGCCTTAAATTACAATCACATGGTTCATTTGTTTTGTTTAAATGAGTTTCTTAGCACTTTAAGGATTCTTTTCACTGCCATGTGTGTGATTATACTTATTGTTTTCATGTCTTCAGATCAGCCTCATGTATCTGACCCCCARGTGAAGGTGGCATTTGAAAATGGAAACTTCAATTTCACATTCCCCAACCCGGAAAATGTGAGCGAGTTCAGCATGACCCTGTTCAAAGGGCATGAAAAGAAGGAAATCTGYGCATTCCATTTGAGTGAAGAGAGAGTTATCTCCAAAAGTAATGTCACCTACTGTCAGACACAGAATTCAAATAGCAGCACCACTTTCATTCTTAAAAACCTGGAAAGAAAACATATTGACATTTATATCTACTGCCTGGACATATTCTTACCCCCTCCTTACATAGACTGCTGTCTGAAAGAAACCTATTTGTATGTCCAAGGTAAGTTTACTTCTTTTCTCCCCTCATTTCACTTTACTGATAAGTAGACATTGGGCATAACTATGCTACRGTGAAAAATGTGACTAGAGTTTGCACAGCTGATTATCAGGCTGYTTAAAACTACTTAGCAGGGGGCTGGTAACAGTGGAGTTGTGTTGGCAGACTACTCAGGATGTCCTCTCCATATTTTTTCACCTTCTTGGGCAGGTTTTGCAGACCATGCTGAGTTTTGCATATTGATGGTGACACTCATGTTAGCTTGACTRCAGCTTCTAGAGTACTGCAGTCTCACCTTGGTCTGCAACAGCTATTTCCCTTATCCATTTTTCAAGCTGCTAAGTATAAATGATAAGATTAGATCTAGCCAGTGGGGAAAAATGCATTCTGAGAACTATCTTCATATGCCTAGGACTAAAGAAAATCCATTCTGAGAACTACCTTCATTAAAGAAAATCAGTTGTCAAAAATGCATACTAATGGTGGTATATGGAGCTCTCTGATGCCATTGATGTGTGAAGAAGATGGTGTTCRCTTCTCTGAAGCAGATCCTTAAAGCCTTCTTAGAGCAGAAGAGATCCACAAGTGTTGTGAATTTTTGGCCATTTACTGAGAAGGGCTTGGATTTCCTCCAGAAGACTAACTGCACTGGCTTTAATTTGAACTGACTTTTCTTCAGTGGCTCTTTGGTATATTAAACTGAAAGAGTTAATAGTTGTTTTTGCTCACACCAGTTCTTGGTTCTCTATGCAGTTCAGTTGTAGCATGGCACTGCCTGTTGTCCTTCCTTTGCTTTCTTTTTCTCTCTTTATGCAGGCACTTACTGTGTATGAGTTTAACCTTGTTCAGATCTGAAACACCAGCATGCTCTCAAGCCTGGCTTGGCTTCTTTGCAGTCTAAACTTTCAGCACTGTGTACCAACATTTTCACCTCTCTTTCTGGAAAAATGACATCTTCTGCTTCCTGCTGAATACAGTTTTCCAAGGTGGCTATTCACCTCAGGAAAATCCTTCTTCAGAGTTCACTTTTGCTAATTTACTCATGTGAAGAGGGAAAATAATTTGACGTTATCTGTAGAAGGCAAAAGTGCAAATTATCAGTAATGACTTTTTTTCGTATCCCCATCTTCAGATAAGGAAGACTGCTTTTCACTGGGACCTGTGCAATGGATAATTATTGGCCTGATCATTTTTGCCATTTCCTGTGTCTGCTGTGCTGTGGCCTGTTGCTTAAGGAAYAAGGTAAGCAAGTCTATGATATTATGCAGAACCCTTCTTCCAAAGGTCGTGGGTGGGGAATTTGATTTAATGAGATTTAGAGGGTGGGACAGGCACATAGCCAGCATGTGCTGTGTTTTTTGACAAAAAGACTGAATTGTTAATTTTCCACYGGAATTCAAGTCATTGATGACAGCAGCTCAGATTTAATTTTTCTRTGACAGAATTGTGTATTGATTTAAAGGCTTGGAACCAAAGGGAATAGGGAAACACTGCACAGGTCAGCAAAATTAGTTCGGTAAGAAATCCACCTGATTGTTTTCTTTAAGAAGGGGAAACAAATCATCAGTGGAGCAATTCCATCACTCTTTTGCTGCAAAACCACTTAAACCAAGAACCATTTGACTCAGGAAAGAAGGAAGACTATGCAATTAGCTATTCTTCTGGGCAATGTGTGTTTTGAATTTTCAGTTTGTTTTATTCCAAGTTTTCTGTGTGACTTTGACCTGTCTATTCTGACCTTTATGCTCCCACTGGAAACAGCAGAGTAACTGCCCTATTTAATGAACAAAGGCAGGAGAGGCAAAGACTAGTGACCACAAATTAAATTCATGGCATTTTCTCTCTCTTAGCAGAATCAGAAGAGTGAATCCAGCTCCCATGAGTACAACAGTGAATATATGCCCATGGCAGCAGTGAACGCAGCTAAAAAACCAAGAATCTGAGGTTGTGTTCAGCCTGGTTGTAACCTCTGCTTGTGTCTGTTGCTTTCTCTGGGAGGGGAAAAACTGCTTGCTGTCTCTGCCATTGATTCTGGGTAGGTGGGTGACTGGGTGGGATTGTTACAACAGCTTGTTTATAGAGTTCATGCTGCCACGTTGCAGGAAGACAAAATTAAAAGCAAAATTTTTGGAAACCTTTTGAATAATAATGGTGCGCTGGTTCCTAGAAATGCCACTGCTTCATATCTATGCAAAGTAATGATATCATGACTGAGGAAGAGATGCAAAACTGTTCTGTTCAGACTCTTGAGATGATGCATAGTACCCAAAATCTCTCTGGGAACCTGATTTACTGGATTTACTGAGTGTTACTGGCTAAGGGCAAATATTCTCTAGAGAATGAGATCCTCCTAACTACTTAAGCCCTACAGCAGTGACTACAGAAGCAGTTTTGGATASAGAATAGAAGCAGAATTTGTCTGATTCAAACATATGGGTGTTGTATGTAACTGATTCTCCATTTCTATTCCAGGTATAAATTGCTTGTGGTGTGGAAATTTTGGAAGMATTTTTCCAGCTACTTGAACCTGGACAATGGGAAATCAGCATTTCCCCACCTTTCCCAACCTCCCTGAGCTCTCATGATGGCCCTGTGCTCARTCATGTGGCACTCACTGTAGTACTGTTCTGAGCTGTGTTTTGCTCTASCCTTGTTTGTGAATTGGCACCCTGCCTGATCCACTGACTCGTACATGATATGATAACAATATGTTAAAGATGTGAACTTTTAGTTGAAAAGAATGTTTCCTGTAGCTCTGCTACAGAGAGAACTTTTATTTTCTAGTCTCCTTCATGATAAACTTTCCACTGGAGACAAAAAAAAAAAAAAATACTACCTCCAAAGCCAATCCTTGTAGTCCTTGTGGCACAGCCATGCTGCCCTGTATTGCACATGCCCTTTTGTAAGGGTTAGTTTGGCAGGGGAAGAAAACCTGAGAGAGTATAGCAGAGACTTCTCTGTGACACACTGCCTCAAGTATCTGCATCTGCATTTTTTTATGCTATCAATACATCTTTGCTCTTCATACCTTGGGGCTCCTCTCWTTTATTAAATCCTGAATACTTCTACTAACAGAATATATTACAGGATGAATATATGGTAAGACTGCAATTGCTCCTTAGATCAGTTCAAACCTGCAAGGTTTGTCCCTAAACCAGGACCCATGATCTCTCCTGTTCATGTCTTGCAGCACAAAAAACACAACACAGTTCCTAAGGCCAGTATATTCATGGACTCTGCATTGCAATTATCCTYTTCTTGTGGGTGGACATGAAAGTTTTACAACTACCCCAGTGGGTTTAGGGGTTACTTGACCTGCTTCAAATTGCTCAGAACCTTCAGTATGGAAGAAATGATCAATCCTTCATGCTTCATGTGAAATCCATCAAAACTCTGACCATAAATGACCAGCTGTGCATCCAGCCTGCTTGTCTTGCCAGACACCATTGAGCTGCTGGAACTAGAGGGGTATGTTGATTCTGAACTTCTCCATAAAACTTCAAAAAACCCCTAATTTTGTCAGAGGGCACTAYCGAGAAAGATACACAGCCTGCTTGTCTGGCAAACAGAAGGCTGGTTATAATTTTGTCAGGGCAAATGGGGATGAGGATGAAATGAGCTGGTACGTCAAGGACAGGGTTTTCCTCAACAAACACATGGATACACAAAAGTGTTGCAAAGAGAAGGTGCAAATTGCTTACTGTGACATTGGGCAAAGGAAAATGAGTAAAGCACCAAAGGAGGTGGGGACTGCCAATTACACAGCCCTAGGCTGCGAYAACCAGCTCCAAGGCTGACATGAGGAACGGAACCCTGCTGTGGTGGGTARCATTACATTCTCTCCCACCATTCTTTGACAAATTCCTTGACCTCCCCAGCCAAGCTCTTCTCTGTACATCCATAAAAGCATTGATTTCTCAATTAAAAAAAAAAATATTGTTGAAATTATTGCCTGTGAAAATAGCTAACATCTACTACCTATGAGAAGAACTGGATCCTGTGTAAGAGTGGAGAGTCCAAACCCCTGGAACCTTTTGCCAGACTGAGAAGGAAATTCAAGAAATAAAGAGTTTCTGAAAGAAGGAAAAACTTGACGTTTGCCTAGGGATGCTGCTGGATAAAGGACAAATTATGAAAGTCTGAACAAGGCAGTTCAAAATCCATMCATCCTGCACCGGAGAGATAAATGGTTTATATTCATTATAACAAAGCTTGTGGGAATCTAAAGTTCCATTCCTCCTTTCTTTTTGGAAAAAGATATTTTTATTGTTAATAAAGCATTTTTTTATTATGTCATGTGTGTCCATAAGAATATTCATGCAGGCATATCATGTGAAAGAATTAAGCTCAATAAAATCCACAGCATAATGAGGAGAGAGTGCAGGGCAATTAAGCCCTCTTTAGCATTGTAGTGAGAAATAGGAAAAGGATTAAGGACAAAAAAATATTGAAAAACTGAAAATCAAAAATTTGGATTTGTTTCTAGGCAGTGGGGTAGTGACATTGCTTGTATCTGTTTATTTCCTTTTATTTTCATGTGAAATTGTTTTTTCATATTGTCCCATCTCTTCTTCCTTTCTTTTAATCCCTCATATCTATCCCAGGATATTTATAATGTCCCAGATTATTCTGGGGCACTTTTCAATTACTGTCTGCCATTTTCCAATGCCTCATAATCAAAAGGAGTTGGAATAAGATAAAGGATGACAGAATGAGAAAAAAGAGTAAAAAGCTATGTAAAAATAACATCAACTGAGTCTGTAGACTGTGTGATAAGAAAGGAATAAAAAAAATTAAAAAAACAAAAACAAACAGTCAGAAAGACTAAACAAAAAGCCGGATCTTCTTACAGGTTATCATTTCAAAAAGTAGAAGCTCTCTTTGGAAACTCCCAGTTTTGGGAAAAGACCATTTCAGGAGGAGGATAAATGATCAATATATCATAATTTGAACACTTGCATATCTTGAGATGGTTTGAAATGCAAACCTTGATATGTATTTTGCAAGCTTATCTTCCCATCCTGCATTATGAACCCAAATCTGAATGTTCTTGRAGTTTATTGATTAACTTCAAGATGGCAATTTCATATCTGATATATAGTATAGGAATGAAATGACACTAAGAGGACAATTTTCCCATAGTACAGGTATTTCATTGAGTTCAAAATTCAAATAGTTCTAAATTCTATCACATTTCCTACAGACTTCAAGAAGTTTATTTAAGGCTGGGGAAAAGAGGCTCCCAAAATTGAGTAAAGCAAACAAATGAATCAAAATAAAGATTGGTACTGAAGATAACATACACCATTACTTATGAAGTGTTTTATAATGTGGGAAGTTCCCTATACATTTGAATCTATAAGTTGCCCTGCAGAAGAATGCAGTAAAAATAAAATAAAAAAAAAAAATACAGGTAATTGAAATTATTTAGTTACAAAGAAATCAATTTGGTTGGTAGAAACGTCTGCCCATATAAGATTTACTGGGGAGCTGGATCTAAGTCTATGCTTTCGTTTGACTTTAACTGCAATGAGACACTCCAGATACCCAAGTCCCCTGAGTTGTCCAGTCCATCATCGCTATAGCAGTCTACCCACTGTAGTTAAAATCTTCCATTTCCTTGAGAGATGAAAGTTTGAGGTCTGCATTTATGCTCTGTGGTTATGAGTTCAATTCAGGGTGTGGGTTGCTCAGAGAAGAGGGAGGAAGGAATAAACAGCTTTTCTGGAAAAATGAACTGGACAGGTATGAAGTGGAGATATGAATAAGAGGTCAGGGGGTGAACTTCATCTAAATGAGTATGTTTGAGCTATTTAATTCCTCTTGGGAGTAGTAAGATCTTGTATGGCTTGAGATCAATTTTTAAAAAGAGATAAATCAGCTCTGATTATCAACAAGAAAGATTTAGCTGCTGCACATATCAAGCATAATAATTTTTAAAAACTGCAAACATTAACAACTTTGAAATATCGAATATCTTCCACATATTAAATCCTGCAACACCCCTCCCTGTTTTTCATATACTGTTGGCAAATCCATCACTAAAGGTATTYCATCCCCTGTCTCAATGCACTGCAGCAGCAAGTTTCACTGCAGCTTATATATTGTATTGCCACCTCTCAAAATTGAGGCCAGGATTTAACATCTGAATCATGCAAAGACTTGCAAGGGGGAATTCCCTTTACACCTGATGAGAGGAAAGGCTCATTTGCTGCCCTAGGATCCATCTGAAAAAATCTCTGRAACACTGATAGAAGTGGAAATTATGTTAGCACCAGCTGATGAGAGCAGGAGGGGGCATATTGCCTTCCAAGGGAGGCAGTTTGAACATRTATAACCTATGAGTATGAGAGCACTGCTTAAGATTTTCAGAATCTTGAGGCCAGATTTTAGAGGAAGAAGCTCAAAAYGGATTCTCAAACCTTTAGCTAGCTACTTTCCTCCACAAAATGTAAAGTACTTGCTTTTATCTATCCAGTCAAATAATTCTCCCTTTGAAAAACAACACTTCCCCCCACCACCCTCCAAAAAAAAAAAAAAAAAAAGAATTGTTCATTAAAGCTCCTTTGAGCCTGAATGAAACAATGGATGTGGCATCAAGCACTTGGCTGAGTGCCAGCAGAATTGCTTATGTTGATCYTCSTGGGGCTGGGCAGGACAWGGACCATGAGACAAAGGGACAACAGAATCTCTCAAGGGAATCAGAGCTTAGTGCTGCTGCTCTCATGAAACTGAGCTGTACCTCAGTAGCTCTTGCTACTGACATTCTTGAAAGCCAGACCTATGCTTGCATTTCCATACCACCCCTGTATGTCTCTGCTGTTCATTCACAACCTCAACTCCATGGAAATCCACCTCATTCCACACCCTGGCTCTTATTAATGCTTGTGCTTCAGAAGTCCAGCTAGGACTGTTTCTCTGTAGCAGGGCAGCACTCCAGGACATTGGCTGACAGCAGCAGAACTTCACAGTGGCTCACTTGGGCAGAAAGGGGAAACTCAGGGCAAGGGCCTGACAAAGCCCTTACTTGGTTATACAGTGGTCATGAGAGAGAAATTTAAAACATTGTCACAGCTGTGTTAGAGGGATTTGTGGGTTCCAGGAACGTAGGGAAGATGAAATAAATGAAAGGATTTAGTATTTGGGGAGTTGCAATATCTCACGACTATGACACAGTCCTCATTTTCAATGAAAGTTGACAAACATTGYCTGTGGGGACAGGTAGTTTCCAGAAAAATACCTGACATCCACCCAGTTGATTGACAAAACCTTATCCAGACAGTGACTTCTACGGACTACAGACCTTCTGCAGCAATTCTTAAGGCATACTTTCAGAGCAAAAAATTACCTTTGCTTCTAAAAAAATGATTTTTTTTACTCAAAAAGCTGTGGTTTTTTTTTATTAAAACATGCTTCCAGTGAATAAAGATCTCTTTCAAACACAATATATTTATTCAGCAGAACAGTCCCTGGCTTGGGGCTTCAACCCACTGTCCTCCCAAACACTGTTCCTGTGGTTTTCCATCTGTGCTGTCAGCCAGACAGGCACCCTCAGTGGTCCATAGCAGGCTGGACTGGCCAAGAGCCACACCAAGGGAGTGCAAGAGCTGCTGCTGAGCACCTTGTCTGCATTTCCTCGTTTCTTTTTCATACTGTCAAGGCAGAGTGGTATGARGCATTTCCTACTGCACCATCACCAGCTTCAAAAGCTAAAGGAAGCTTCATCTGCATCAGGAATCCAACCTAGATGAAACAGATGCTGTTTTTTCTTCCTGCTAACTGGGTTGGTAATCTTTCTATTTCAAGATCAAAGAAAAAAGTATGCTCTTTACTGGAAAATACAGACATACTGAAGAAAACAGCCACCCATGTTGAATAGTGGCTCATGATTCATAATWTCCACTGAAAGTTTGAGTAAGAGAAATACCCTTTTCAGTCAAGACAATGAAAACATATATTTTATTTGGTGAGAAGAGGCTTCTGTGTGTTTTAAGAAAAATCATGTCACTAGGCACAATTATAAAACAAAAGTCTCCCAAGCAACCCAAATTCCTTCAGTACACAGATCCCAGCTCTCCTTCTATAATCAGAACTAGCCAAAGCATCTTGCAGAGACTGAAACTATGTTCCAGTAACGGTGACAGATTTCCCTTTCTGTGACAAAACAGTGCTCAGTTAGTAGACACCAATAAAAACAAGAGCTATGAAGAAAAACAAGCAGAGAAACATTGCTACAGTTAAGGTAGCGCAATAAACCATGCAGTGGGTTCTTAAAATGCAGACATTCAGTCAGATCACTTTGATCATCAGAGCATCCCACCATGAAATGATGGCCATCTCACCATGGCTATGGGATTCTTTCTTAGCCATTTTTAAGGTACACWTCTTCTGCTTTCTATGGTACTGACAAACACAGATAAAGGATCTGAGTCTAGAGCAAGTGCAACAGGGTAATTTTCAGACATTTAAGTGCAACTGAGCAATCCAAAAAGGACCTGCTTGGGTCTGTGGCACCTTRAGCTGTTCAGAGATCTTGTCCTAAGAACCCAGTAGCAGAAAAGTGCTATTCCTTTGCCTATATACGGTAAGTCCCTGAAACCATGCTCCAGCAGCTCAATTCACAAGTGCTGTCACAGGATAAATGGCTTTAATGTCAGAAAGAGAWTTTTTTTTTTAATGGCTCATTTTCCACTAAGATATTGGTGTCCTGTGTGATCTGAAACACTCAGGCTTCTCCAACCTGACATACAGTTTCTTGGCTTGGGCAGAGGATGCCACAGCTGCMTGAAGTACTATGGTTTCTTATCCCAAGGGCCTGGGATAGCACTTGACAGTGATTTCACTGCAGGGGTCACTGACTTGGAGAAGTGATGGAGCATGTTCTGCAGCCTAATGCCTGCACCCTCACAGTACCATCCCATGGACTACTCATGAACTTCATGTAAGAAAGGTGGGGTTAAAGTAGCAAACTCAGATTTTTAATTAGAACTGTGGCTTTGCCTTTCTCAGTTGACTGCAGTGACTATAGATTTCCTTCTCCCATATGCTCTCGCACCCCACTGAACCTTCAGTCTTTATCAGGTTGTTTAAATCACTCCTCATGGGAGGGGTTATTTGATAACYAGGCGTATGCTCAGTAAAATACTCTGCATTGGGTAAGCCACATGCTCCTGACACAATTATAAATCACCTAATTAGGCATTTTGCAGCTGGGTGCTGGCTACACTTTGTGCCTGCAGAGAGATGGTGGCCCATATCTGCCAAGGGCAAAGGAACACTTATG